GCTGCTTGGAAGGATACCCTTTCTGCAGTAATAAAAGCTACTTTAGCTAAGTTTAATCAATATTTAAGGGCATATCTTTGTCCAGATTCAAGTTATGAACTCTCTTATTCAGTATTTATAGAATCTGCGCTGGGCCTGATGCTGGATCCACTCCTCTGAATGTCTCTGCTCTTCAGATTACTAGAGTGAGAGATAAGCAACTCTCTGGTTAGATGGAGAAGACTTTTTTTGTAGGATTATGTCCTGATTAAGACAAAAGCAAGAAATTACTTGGGTAAAGAAGTAACAGGCAAACGTTTTTAAAAATAATACATCTGATATTATCTGTCCTACCAACTGATAGGCTCTGTTTTGAGTCAAATTTGACATGAGGTGGGACAGGGGTAGATAGCAAATGAACCAAAATCAGTTAATTGAAAGAGAGAGAGAGTTTGAGAAGCAGCTGAAATGTATGAAGTGAGATAATTTGAGCATCAATCTAGCCAAGTAGCTTAGCATGCTGTAAGCTTGTGAATAATTCCCATCACATTCACCAAGTTAACTGTACCACCTGGTTTCTTCAAGAGCTTCTTCAAGAGGACCTGGTAGGTCATCTTATTAAACCCACCTCATGCTTGCCAGCTCTCAGAATCGTGCCTTGAGCTGCTGTCCCAGGTCTAACTGCGTATTTTGTTGCACTTGAGAGCAATGGCTGTTAGTTTTAGAGGCTGTTTGGTCCCTTTATAACAGAAAGCATTAGTTGCATAGAACTAAATAGTTTAAATAAAAACGGATCTTTGAAACAATAAATCAATCTATACACATGCCCGCCTTTGCCTAAGGGTCACAATTCTCTGGAACTGGGGAACACCCACCACCTTCAAACTCTTTTTCTACAGCCTCCCTTGGTGGCAGCCTATCTTTCCACACAGGCCCTGACAATTGAATCCCCACTCCTTTTCTAGGAATGTCTTTTTAACTGTTTAATGCTCTTTGAGCTCTTTGTTCTCTGCACTAGCAGAACAGCAGTGTCACTTTGGCCTGGAGCCTGGAAGTATGTCATTGTGTGCAATTGCTTCCCCAGTTGTGACTGTGGGGAAGCTTGCAGATTCAGAGCTGTTATGTTGTTTTCCCCAGACATCCCCTTCCCTCCTCCCAATATTGAATTAGATCCATGAATCTATTCATTGCACTCTTAACAGCTAACCACCACTGAATAGTTAACCCAGTCTCCCTGATATGACCATGAGTCTTCATATAACTTTTACATCTTTCTTTTTGATCTTAGGTTATTACCTTGTGTCTCCACATCTATCACAGTCCCACTGAAGTGAGTGGGAAAGTAGTGCAGGAAAAGTGTAAGCAAGAAGAGGAGGTACAGGAATTTGCCATGGTGAGAGGCATGACTTGAACCAGACATAAGTTGACAGAAGCAAGGTGTCTTTCCTATCTCATTAGGATGTATGAAAAACAAGTTTCATGGATGGGAAGATGATGAATCAGTAACAAGGACAGCCAGCACCAGGGGTGAGGGGGAAACAAGAAATTAGGAAGAAATTGCCAGCGGCAATTAAAAGTTATTTTCCAGCTAACTTGAGACTTTTGCCCTTACCTCAAAAGGAACCCTTTTGCTGCCTCTGCTCTACTAGATCTTGCAGTTTCAGTGGTAGCAACGTTCATATCAAAACATGTATTTTTGCTCTTTTGAGAGAGAGATATTAGGATGCTTTAAAATTAATAAAATCCTGATTTAATTGAATGGTCAGTCATCAGACCATGCACTAGCCCAATGAAGAAATTGATACTATTTCAGCTGGTTTGGTATTTAGCACAGCAGAAGGCTAATGACTGCCTTCATCTGAATATTATCCATCTGTGCAGATACAGAGACCTTTTATAGAGGCAGCTGTAGCTTTTTACAGTTCTCTGTGCTACCCATTTTTACATGATCCTAAACTAAGCATCCTAACAGTGAGTCATCAGTGTGCTGTCTCTTCGTTACTAATGAGAACTTCCTGGAGAAGAATACGTATAGGTTGCACTGACTTCAGTGGGGCTCTATAAAACCATTTGAATTTTCCTGCATAAAGAGCAGGATGGGGGCCAAGAGACAGTGAAATGTCCCAAACCCGTACAGTGAGTCAGTGATATGGTTGGAATTAGAACTGAGGAGCTGCTAACTCTCAGCTTTGTCTTCTGTGCGTTAGAGAATAACACTTCTCATCGGCTGCATTCCCAGTGCTGTGAGTAAACAGGCTCAAACTCCAAAGAATTCCACAAAAGCTCCCAAAGTCTTCAGGACTAGCTATACTTGTGAGACCAGAACCTCTTACATAATCTCAGAAAAATGGACAGCGCAAGCTGAAGGTTGTCAGTATATCAGTCTAGAAGTTGAGGATCGTGTTTTTAATTGCAATTTAAGTGGCGCAAAAGTTCTGACTCTTCCACTCATGGAGTGGCATTGGTAGCATTTTGTTGTTTCAAGCCAAGGCAGCCTTCCCACATGTAGTGATTTCTCTAACAGAAGCAGAATGTTTAAATGTTACACTGACAATGATACTTAACAGGAACTGTATATTAGAAAATAACCCCTATCACTGGATTATCAAATGTTCCATTCTGTATCAGGATTTTTGTTTTGAATTAACAGGAAGCTATGCTGTCTTATGACCTGCTCTGTTAGTCAAGCAGTGGGCAATCTGTCCTTGGAGGGGGATATTTAAATGGGACAAAGAGTAGAACTACAGATTCCCTGTCATTTCCTGAGAATAACATCTGGATCTATGTGAAGTGGTTTAGGAAATATTTTTGTATGTTACTTATGCTGGCATTTGCATGATGAGTAGTCTGAATACCTGCATATATTAAATTGCTTCTATAAAACAGTCATCTTGATAACTTCAGTAGTACTTGTACGGTCCCAAAGATTTGATGCTAATTTTAAAAAGAGGGAATGATATGAGAGATATGTTGTTTTATAACTGTCTTTGTAAGAGTGGCTTTTGATGGCTTGGAATGTATCTGACTGTTTGGAAAACATGGGAAGATCTGTGTCATAGATACTTTTCTTCCTTCAGATATAAGTAGAAGCTAAGGTGGCATTTAAGGAAAAAGAAAATAACTGAATTTTACTGTATTCTGGACCTTTCCTAGAAGCTTCAGTTTCACAGTATTTTGGCTGTCACTTTTACTGAATCTATTTAAGTACATTTTTTAAGGTGAACTACTTGGCTGTTTGACATTTTTGTTCTCTGTTATGCTGCAGCAATCTGTCCAATTTGCAGTCAGATAAAAAGCATTACAGCTTGAAAGTAACAGGTTTCAAAGCCTTTCTTTCCCCACCTGTGCAAGTAAAGGTGTTCCTATATTAATAAAAATACAAGGCTATCAAATGAAGAGCACAGCTTGTTAGAAGTGCTGGAAAAGAACTCCAGTTTAAATTAGTTTTCAGAAGTATAAATTTGAAACTTATGAAAAGAACGAGGTGTGTCTGGCGAAGCTGGATAACAGAGAGATGAATGTGAAGGCAGTTTTTCTAATGTGCTTAGCAGACCCAGCTGGAGTCATATTATCAAAAATCTGGCCCTTACCACACACACAAGAATTATTTAAAAATAATAGTAACACAACGTCTCATTCTCACGTTGCCCTATGTAGCCTCAGTGAAATAGCAGACATGCAAGTGGTCTGGAGATGAACCACAAAGAACCAGCCAAGGATATATCATTTCTTCAGCATCATTTTACAATTTTTTTCACTGTTGGATAATGATGAAAGGGCAAAGTAAGCACCATCCAAAGTCTATATTGTTGGCAAGAGTGTACAATATAGCCAATATGGGATTTACGTTTTTATTTTACTTTCTTATTTATAAATGATGCTGTCATCCCACATCAAAAAAACTAGCACTTCTCACGCCACTTAACGCCATCTTGTAGAAAAGGTTTATACAAACCTTTGAAGCTCAGAGATTTAATAACTTAAATCTGCAATATCACTGTTTCAATAACCCTGCGTTTTTAAGGTTGATGTAGAAAATGAGTAAGCGCAGTAAAAAAAAAAAAATTTTACAGCGTACCACTGAACCCACCAGAATGATTCAGACAGACTCTCAGTCTGAGTATAGTCCTCCACCCTTTGGGGTTTGTTCCCTATCTTGATGTCAAAGAAGAAATTAATCTCATCAGAAATGTGTCTTTTGGTATCCTTTCACAAGGCCCTAATTTGGTGCCATTTACCAAGACAGAAAACCCTATTAAGAGACACCTGTAGTTTTGGAACCTGTTCTTCTCTTTACACCCCAGCAGCCCAAGCGTGTTTATCTTCAGAGTGTACAGCAAGCCTTGCTGCTCACCCTCACTTTTGGAAAGAAAGTCATGCACAGTAAAGTGCACCACCTTGGTTGCAAAAGTCATGTTCTTTAACATTTAATAATTCTACAATTTTTCACATCTAGTCTATTAAATGTTTTATTTTAATTTAGAGGGTGAAGACTGGGAATTTAGGGTAAGCTGTTTTGCAGTTTTAAATGCAAAAATAATTGGGTGAAAGGAAAGATAGCTTGCTGAGATCCTTTTTCAAAACCACAGGTGAAGTACTAAGGTTAGGAATGGTTGAAGGGTGTTTTTTTTGTTTTGTTTTGATTTTAAGGTTGTAACAGGAAAGGGAGCTTTCTTAGCAGGGGTTGGCTGAATGCTCAGAAGGCTAGTCTTCATGTCAGCCAGTGTATTTTAAATGCTGGTATATTTGAACCTTCAACCACAGTAAGTGCTGATTACTTCTGGTAACTAGAATTGATTACATCATTGATTACATCTGCCCTTGTAAGTGCCATGGTCTGATGGCGTGGCAACAATAGCTACATTAGTACAAATGCTATTTCATGGAGCATGCTATTGAACGTATGGGGAATAAAGTTGTCCACCTGTCCCCTCAACTCTAAATTTGTAAGTTGTGTACTCTACTGTATTTGCAAATGGTTTTAGTTTAGGGAAATATTTATAAATTATGCCTCTTTTCAGAGTTAAAGAAGCAGAGGAAGTCTGCAGGCAGAAAAAGGGGAAATCACTTTACAATATAAGACCAAAACATGACTCTGGAATTGTAAGTAAAAAATATGGCTATGCTCCTATTCCCATCAGTCTTTCTACCTTTTTCTCTTTGCGTTTTATAGCTATGTTATTCTTGCTGCAATGTTTTTTTCTAAATGTTTGACATTTTCATGAAAGGTGTTAGACTAAAACTCAAATGCTGCTTGCGAATGTTACTCCACAAAACAGATGTGCACAAGCAAGAGAAGTGTATTCCACCCTGCACATCTGTTGTTTCAAGTATTGCTGTGGGATGCACCTAAAAGGAAGAAAGGCTTTTCCAGGGTTCAAGTTCATTCAGTCTGTAATTACTGTATTTTCTAAAAGCTGCAAAATGTAATGGAAGATATATGATAGAGACACTCAGTTTGGGCCACTGTGTTAAATACCAGTGACTTCTGTTCTACTGGTCTGGATTTGTTTGGAATTGCAGCTGTGGGAAGAGACAATGCTATCCTCTGACTTTTCTCCTGAAAACAGATAAATATATTTAATGGTAGTAGAGGAGTAATGCCTATCATTTCAATGAAAATATTCCAGTATGATTGCCTAAACATTGATAGGACCATGATGTATATCTGCAATAGATGAACTTTCCTCTAGCGGAAAATGAATCTGATGCGTCACATAACAATTATATCTGTAGCAGCTCACCATCAATTGTTTTTGTAAAATCTGAAAATAGGAATTTTTTTGTGTTCTTTTCCCCCTAGAAGCATGATTCAATTCTTTTGTGCTTTATATTCATTGCTATGCTACTGTGACACGTCCTTGAAACGAAGCAGGCTGTCACTTACTACATAATTTAACTAGCATAATCTGACACAAGAAGAGAGAGAATTGTTTTTCTTGTATCTTACTCTGAGTGGTTAGGGAGAAGTGGCTATGGTAAATGACACAGGAAGTGTAAATGGAGTAACAACTTGGTTAGGAATGATAAACAAGATTTTATTTTATCGATGTAATTTGTAACTAGATCAAGATGTTATTAAGAAAAAAAAAGTTTTGATCTGGATTTTTTCATCTTCCCTACATCTCCCCAAAAGTAAAGCTATTGAGGGAATTTTTTTAAAAAATAACTGCAGGCTTAATTACTCCAGTAACATTACCATTTTTACTTGTACTAAAACTGGGACTTTCAGGTAGAGCTGAATATCAGGATCACTGTTTGTTTACCACTGCAGGCATTCCCAGTGTTACTAAATACTTGAAAAAATAAAAAGGAAAGTAAACAAAAATATTTCACAAGCACAATGTTTAGCTAGTCTACTTCAATTCTAGCTTCACAGGGAATTTATTTGAAATCAATCCTGAAATAAGTATAATTGAATGTTAGCTTACGTATTTCTGTTGCTTACGTACTTGTCGCATGCATTTTTAATGCATACTCAATTCTCTACATGTTTTCTATTTTTCAGAAAGCAAAAATAAGTATGAAAATCTGAGAGAAGACAAGTGAAAGCCATTGTTACCTGGTTACCAAAACTCAACATTTCTGTGGGTGGGGGGTGAGAGGGAAGGAAACTACATCATCTTGATCATTTGCTACCTTTCTGGATTTCCGTTTTGTTCTCTCGAGTTTTCCACCAATTGATGTGTTATTGTACATTCATGAATGAATGTAATCACTTTAATGGAGTGCCCAGCAATAGACTAGATATGGACTTGAAACACCTTCCCTGTACTCTGTATCTCCTTTGCCAGTCAAAAATAATTTGTAAAGTTTATCGTATATTACAAATAGGCCAAATCAGCATGCATAAAAAGCAGCATCTGCATCAGTTCTGAACATGCTGAAAATTGCATTACGTTGAACTTCATAAGAATGCTGCTTAATAAAGTAAAACATTTCCATTCCTACTGGCAACATCTGTCTAACACAAATACTTCATGGCACTGCACTTAGATTAGGGGAAGAAACGTTACTCCTAGTGAATTGTTTGTATCTGTTTCATGTTGGCATTTGTAGATTGTATTTTGAATCGTTAAGTGCTGTTTATACAGTATAATCAATGCTTTCCCAACTTGTTTGGTTGCCCTCAATGACTAAATATTTGTGGAACAAGATGTTTACCGTAACTATCTTTAAAATCGATAAGGCAGCATACTTTTACTTCATCTTTTGCCAGATAGTGAATGCCAGGTGGTATGGGGGTCAGAAATCCAACATAAAAAATTAGTAAGTGAAAAGCAGGAAAATACAGAAAAGCACAGAAATACTGTAGAGAGTATGAGAGAGATTTGGCTATTATAGTTTGTTAATATATAAAGCAGCTAATACTTTTACATGAACTTTAGAAGGCATAGTATAGTTTTAACTCCTGATCACTTAAGTCAGACAGGCTTGTGGCCACATGTATATGTCTTCCCTTTTGGAACTAGCTTTACAGTTAATTTAAAACTCCTTTAGAGAGCCTTTAAAAGATGCACATGGGAATTGACATTTCTGGAAAACAGTAGCCAATTCTAGTGACAGAGCATAGACTACCAACAAATTCACATCAATTTCACATTTAACAGAATTGCAGATTTTTCTTCCAGGCTTTCAGCGTTCCTGACTAGAAGGTTAATGATTGAAATCTATGACTGAGGGCTTCCGTTTTAGACCACATGCTTAATTCCTATTTGCAATCCAGAATTTACTATCTCAGTCTTGATCTGCTCAACCAGTAGCACCACCTTCCTCCAGTCCTAATTAAAAAGCCCAAAAACAATCAGCCTGATTGATTGATAACATTTTGCTTTCAAAGCGCACTTTCCGTGAAAGCAGCCAGTGTGTGCAACTAAGTTGGAGGCACAGGCTCACAGCCTTGGAGCCTGGAAGACACTGGTGTGAAGCAGATGAGATCTAACCTGCTGGGGTAGATTATTCCCTTTCTAATCTAGGACATCCTAAAGCGTTCCTGGCTGTCCAGAGGCTAATATACTCTACAAGGTGTTATAAGAGGAAGTGCAAATTATGACCTCAGGAATCTGTTATTCTTCACATATACCAAGCACTAGAAAATATGCTTTTTTTCACTATGTGAAAAGCAAGTCTCCTGTTGCTTGACAGACCTTTGTGAAATTCTGTACTCATAATTATTTCTGGCAGGGATATAAATTACCAAGAATGGAATTCTAAAATTTTGTGTTGATGGGAGTAACATTACCATTTCGGGAAGTGAAAAGAGGAGATTATTTGCTGTTAAAACTAACTTATGGAAAAAAAAAAAACTTAAAAAAAAAAATAAAGCTATTTTAATGGCACTGATTCAAATCCATGTTTGTATTTATGTACAACAATAGTCTTTTTGTTTTAACTTTGCTCTTAAGTGCAAAGATACAGTAGCTTGTTTTAGTTTGTCGCCTTCCTGTTCCCTTCAGTACCTACAGTATGTATATTACCATACTAAATGAAATAATAGGACATTTAACAAAGATCACTATGTGCAATATTGTATTTAGTGTTTCTATTTCAATTTTTTTAGAATGTTAATTTATATGAAAATAAAAGGAATAATAACGAAATAGTTGCTTTCTCTCTTCACTGTCAGGCTACGCTGTAGTTTGCTAGCATCCATTTGCTGCCTAAACACCACATCCCTTTCAGCCTCCTGTCCTGAAGGTAAAACCTTTGTGAAGGGATCTGTGGAAATGGGACTTCTCTCACCTTGCCTTTTAGAAGCATGGTGGCAGTGAGTCCTAGCTATGTGGGATATATACTACCTCTTCCCCAGGTGGTAGTGGTGAGGAACTTCAGGGTCCTCCTCTACCCTGTCAGACTGCATATCACTCATTTCCCTGGCTTGTGCGTGCCTTCTAGTGGTGCATTAGGCTTAGTTGGTTTGAACTGGACTCTTCCTTTGCAGCTGTGGAGCTGATTTGACACACACTGGGAGGCTTACTGCATTCTTACTACAAAGATACCTGCAGCTTGTTCCTACTCTACACTGCCTACACAATAGTCTGATGAAATTCGTATTAGAACAAATACATGCCTAAAAAGTATTATCTGCATATTATAACGATGTCATTCATGTGTTGTCAAGCAACTAGTACTGTCACGTATGTACCATCCTTTCCGTTGGAGCTGCAAGATGGATACTACTAGTTATTTGCAAATTTGTGTCTCTAAAGAATGGTGTCAAAGGTTGGCTGCAGCTGATGGTACTGTGTTATAATCTTAAGATACAAGCTGCCTCATGGGTTTTCCTGTTTCATTTTCCTCAGGTCCAACCCATTTGAAATGTCTCTCTCTTAAATAGCTGTTCTCCAGACTATTTTCTAAGTTTTGCACAAAGTGAAATAGTCCATTATTTGCAGCACAGAAGTTAGCACAGAAGTGAACCCACCCCACTCCCAGGGTGGAATCTCAGTGTGAGTTTCATTGTTGCTCTTTTTTTCAGTGGCACACTCTGCTTTTTACAGAATTCTGGACTGATTTTTTTTTTTTCTTTGTATGATTGGTTGTTTCTTTTAAGGGGTACAACACCTATTTAGGTCTCTTTCCCCTCCCCGGTTTATTGCACCATCAAGCATACTACACTTTCAGAGTACAGTCCTACAATAGCTGTAGTGGACAAAATGTTGAGCCCTTGTTAACCATCAACACCATACATTTCTCACCAATACTTAAACAAATTGTAGCAGCTACATGAGGACTTTTATAGCTGAGAAGTAGGTGTGACTTGCTGAGAATAAGAATTCTGAAGAGTCTGGCTTTTATGAGGAGCTACAGAAGATTTGTGTTGTTTGGCTTTGCAAATTGAAACCTTTAGGAGGTATGGTACTTTAATTGTCTTATATCTTACGGTACAATAGTGTTAGTTCTTCATTATCATTCTTCTCTTCCCAAAGAACTTCCAAAAGTCAGTTTCGTATTAGCGAACAGTGACAATGCAATCAGTAATCATCTTCCCATATGGTGTCACTCTTTCTTCTTTGAATTTCTTTTGGTGATCAGCTTAAAATTGGCAATAGTTATTAACTTCACTGAGAGAAAATATAGCAAGTGATTCTTAGCATTATAATTATGTTGTTGCATATTTTAAATAAGCAGAGCAGAGTTTATGCCAAGTCTAATTTATCAGTTCTTTAAGTTACACCAATTTTAAGCTGCCACAGACAGAACAAGCAAAATCTGATGATGCTGAATTTAACTGGTCAGTAAAGGGAGAAGACAAAAAGCAATGATGTCTGATACCATTCATCTCCACTACCCATCAATGATATGATAATATGATATTTAAACTACAAAACAGGTTCTCCAAGTCATTCTCTTGCTTATTTTTGACCCATCTGCGCCTGTGCTATACCAGGTAAACATTCATTCAACCTATTTGTAAAGGCATTCAATGGTAAGTCCATTGTCTTACAAGTATGGCGCTTTTCTGAAGTGTGTGCATTAGGCTGGTCAGCACTGTTTTCTCATGTATTCCCAGCTGCAATTCAAATTTATCCTCTTAAAAAATAGGGGGGTGGAGGAGGTGTCTTCATCTGTCACTCATCACAAAGTGGGGTCCTGCCACTCTGGTAATTCTAGGGTGGCAGAACTTAAAATCCCTTTCCCTGTCCCACAAAGCCAGAGAGCATGCTGCAGTCCAATTTAATGAACACCGGATCTATCTGAGTAAAGCCTATTTTATCTCCCTAGAGACTTACCTTGCTCTTGGATTGCTTCTGCAAAGGGGAGTTTATTGGATTACAGCACATGCTTCTGGTACCAATGGTAGTCGGGCAGCAAAAGGCTGGGAAAGCCAGAGCTGCAGTCTAGGCTGTAACACAAACAGCTAGACATTGAGGGGGGTGCTGGACAATGAAGCTACCTGCGAAACAGGAGAGCGCCTAACAGGTGGAGATGAGGAAGGGGCGTTGGAGATGGTTACTCGGTCTCTTTTGGCACCAACTGACAAAGGTATTTACAAGTTCTAAGCAGAGGCCCCTTACAGCACTTAGGTAGCTAATGCACAACAGCAGCAGCAGAACAGTAATACTCGAAACCAACAGCTACTAAAAAGGGGGCTTCCTGCAAATGTCTGTTACAGTGTCATAAAAGACACAGCCCTGCCTTACTAGTTTTGGGCTAGATGCTCCTGTCACTTTTAAGAGCCATGAAAAGCATCTGTTCTGGGCATGTGGAGAGTCATGCCTCAGTGTGGGAAATCACTTTGCTGACTGACATTTACCTTCAAATTATTTTTTAACTGTCTTTTCTCAGGGTTGGAAAGAAAAGGGCGGGGGGGGAGGGGGAGAACCCTGCATTTTGAGAGCCATACAGTGAATGTATTTATTCAAGAGCTGATAGCAAGTGTTTGAATTCAACTACATCTAAAGATTTGTTCCATGAGGAGGCTGATGCCTATTACATAATAATCTAACTATATTTTAAGCAAAACCACGTAGATCAGGAAAATAGCTAACTCACCGCAAGTGATGCCAGCAGTTTAGCTGCTGGTGGAGCTTTGACTGTCTTCTTGTCAGTTAACAAAAGACAGGATTTGTGTGGGGAGAGTCAACCCCAAATCCTATGGTTAGCTCAGCTTACTTTCTCCTTTTCCCTTACAGACACCTTGAGGTTTGGAGGAAGAAGGTAGCTAGGCTATTCCAAGCTGTTAGGGTGAGCCATGTCTTACCCGAGACTGGGAGGACCAAAAGAAAGCTGAAAAATAAATTGATGTGAGATGATTGGTTGTAAACTGGATGTTGAAGCAAAGCCCATACACCTCGATACCATATAACCCTAGAGTAGCTTTATTATTTATTCTATAATTTAATAGTGGACCTATAAAATAATTACATTATACTTAAAGCATTTCTTCATTTTTGTTTTCATTTATAAAACAAGAATTAAATACAGCTTTAAACATTACAAGCTCAACTCAGTTTTTACATAAACACAGCTCCTAGAAGGAGCTTTAAGCTGCAGCATATTCATATTGCAAACTGGTGAGAAACCCAGGCAGGACATAGCTTAAAGATAAAGATTCTTGCACTTTATTCCTAACTGAAGTTACTAAGATGTTTTTCCCTCTCTAGTCCAAAATGCTAGTAGGGCCTGGCTTCAATTCTTTTCTTTCAAGGGGAGACCAAGATCCCTGACGTCTTAATAGATTATGGCTATTATTGCTCCCTCCCCCCCCCCCCCCCCCCCGCCCAAGCAATCTCAAGCCTAGACTGAATATTGCCCATGCAGTGGCTGGCACGATGCTGACAGCATCACAGTGATGGCCTCAAAAGTGCACGGAGTCTCCCTCTGTGTTTCTGACTGTGAAAGACCACAACAGAAAGTACATGCATAGCTGTTCATGCAACAGGGCGAACATAGCTGACCAACCTCATCCTGCCCGTGCCAATCCCCGTAAACCGCTTGGTGAGCTCCACTAGAGCTCAGTCCGGAAAGCCTCTTACAGCAGCCTGTCTCACATAACAGAGACCTGTGGCACTGCACTCCTGGCTGGCGAGAGCAAGACACACGTTAACCCCTTGGAGCGGGGGTAGGTAAAGAGGCTAGCAGGGAAGAGCTCCCACAGCAAGCTCATTTCACTAGATGCATATGCTGAACTGTAAGACATGCATCAGGGAGTCAGCTTGTCACTTTTAATTTGTGTGCTTCAGACAATTTAGCATTCATGAGCTTCAGTTTGGGGGGAAGGGGCTGGTTTGGATGTAGGACTAGATGTAGGACTTTAATACAGCTGGTACTAATACAGATCAGAACTGGAACAAATGGGATACACAGACACGCTAAACTCCACCAAAAGAGTAACAACACTATGATTTTTAAATGAACTTAAAACATTCACCAATGCTGACAAGTCAGAACTCAAAATTTCAGCAGCCCACCAGTACTGCAGTAATTACAGCTTGGTCTCTCCCTGCTCCTACAGCTGTGACCCACGCCAACAGCACTTATGGTGGTTTTTCTCTTAAAACACTAACAGGTTACCTGTTTTCCAACCACTGCATGGGAGAGCCACCACTCCCAACACCTGACACACTGGGGCATAAGGCAGCTTTTGTATCCAGTCCAACAATGACCAAATTTTGTTCTCTGTGCTACAGTGCTTTAATACCTTAAGTGAAACATTGTCTCCTTAAGTGTTTTCAGCTCCTCTCCCACTTCCCGCCCACTCCCCCAGTCTGAGCAGGCATAAATACAAGGTAATAAATGGATGTTGTCCTTTTTTGGAGTAAGAAACACACACATACCTAACAAACACACAAAACCTACTGGAAAGCCTAGTTAAAACATGTCCATTTTAAGCCAGGCAACTGATGTAGCAACCAAGTCTCTTGCTCAACACATTTTAGTCTCTGGCATATTCCGCCACAAGAAAAATATACATGGCTAGGTCTATAATACTTTAAACAGCTGTTTACTATAGCTAGGTTACAAAATAAACACTGCTGCAGAGACGATGTGTTTGATATATTCTAACCACAGCAGTGTAGCCATCCTCAGTCTGCTGATGCGATCCCGGTGGCTGACCTAACGCTTCCCCCTCTCCCCTTCGGTTCTTATCTGTGGT